ATCATGGACGCCAGCACAACCCACCAGCAGGCGGCAAGTCCGAACGGCACTGCGAAGCTCTCCAACCACTCTCCTGGCGATGCGCAAGACTGGAGCGGTGATGAACGCTCCAGCGACGAAGAAGCCCACGACAGAAGCCAAAGTGGCACGTCGAACAAGCGGAAGCGGCCGCTTTCTGTGAGTTGTGAGACATGCAGTAAGTGTGACACAACATGATGAGGCTGTTGAGGCTCACCATGCGTAGAGCAGCGAAAAGTCAAATGCGACAGAGGCGCGCCTGCCTGTTCCTGGTGCTTGAAGAACCACTCAGCATGCGTCAGTTGCGCCATCCACTGACATCACCCCCAATACTCAATCGCATCAGGTCTACCTTCCGCGCAAGAAGCCCGGCCTGCGCGCTGGCTATGGACGGGAGCTCGAGTCGAGACTTGGTAAGTCGCGCATCCTCACCACCCTGTTCTGGAGTAGCCGAGGTCTGGATAAGCAGACTGAAGTTTGCCGTTATCGCTGGCAAACTTCGCGCGCCCACAGTCATGACAGTGCCCAGGTGGGACTTGATGGAGGTCACGACTGTCGCGCAGCTTGACTAAGCGGGCGCTCCTTCTGTCCGCCAGCCAGAGACCCTACAGGGCAATCGCGACCACAGCTGACAATCGTCCCTTCCCCAGACAAGCTCGAAGCGCTCCTCGTCCAGCAGCAGTCGCAAATCAACCATCTCTCCAGCACCCAAGTCGCCACGTCCGGCCCGTCACCGCAAGAGGTAGCCGCGTTCCGAAGCCCGCCCGTCATCCAAACCCCCCATATACCGCGTCCCGAAACGGCCCTCTTCATCCAGAAGCCCACGTTCCCTTCGCAGAGCGCAATACAGAACCAATATGGCAACGGCGTCACGGACAATAGACCCACCCCCTCGGTCACGGGGAATGGCTACCAGTCCGAGGATGTGAGCATGAGCGGTGGCTTGTCCAGAGACGGCTACACACCATACAATGAGCAATACCAGCCGGCCATATCGAGGAATCTCGGCCATGCGGATGCCGACTTCCCACCGTACGACCTTCTGTATGGCCTCGTCGATCTTTTCTTCAAGCACATCAATACCTGGTGTCCCATCCTCCACCGCCAGAGCACGCTGAACTCGCTTTTCGGAGACGCGACGCTAGAAGAGGCGGATCGAATCATACTACACGCAGTTGTCGCAACGACTGTCAAGTTCTCTACCGACCAGCGCTTGACTGCTGAGAAGCGCACGCGCTACCACAAGAACTCCAAAGAGAAGGTCCTGCTGTATGGCATCGAGAACAGCTCTGTAAAGTCGTTGCAGGCGCTTGTGATCCTCGCTCTGGACGTTGTTGGCTGCTCCAATGGCCCTCCCGGCTGGAACCTTCTGGCTCTTATCACGCGCTCAGTCGTCCAGCTAGGACTGTCGGTCGAAAGCTACTCACCGAGCGTCGCTCCACAGTTTGCGTCAATATACACCTTGCGCGCCATGACGCTGCCTGAGCCCAAGGACTGGATCGAAGAAGAGAGCCGACGCCGCCTTTTCTGGATGATCTACGTCCTAGACCGATACGCGACCGTTGCCACGGCTTTCGAATTCGCTCTCGACGAAAAGGAGATCGACCGTCGGTTGCCGTGTCGCGACGACATGTATGCGCGAAACGTGCCCGTCGAGACGCGATGGTTTCAAACTTCGACAAGATCTGACTACAGCATGAACAGACCAGAAAACCTGGGCTCCTTCTCATACTACGTCGAAGTCCTGGGGATTCTCACGCGCATCCATAAATTCCTCAAGAAGCCTGTAGACATTACATCCTTGTCCGACGTCGAGACCTGGCAAAGCGAGTATCGTGAGCTTGACAATGCCATCGAGCAATGGAAGTACAATCTTCCTCAAGAATTTGGCAACTCTGCGAGATTGTTTGCAAAGCCGGGTATGGGACAGAATTTGGACAGTGGTTTGGTGATGCTCCATGCGGCCTTCCACACGTAAGTTGTCTTCCCTTTGCCCTAAGGAAGAAACTAACTCTGGCAGCACTGTGATTCGTCTTCACTCATCCGCGGCCTACCCCACCCATCGTTCACCCATCTTCACGCCGTCCTTCAGCGCTAGCCAGCGATGTCTCAGTGCTGTTGAGAATATCACAGCCCTTTGTGCTACCGTACGCGACAACGGTTTGCTGAGCAAACTTGGCCCGCCCTTCGCATTCTCGCTCTGGGTAGCCGCACGTGTTCTCTTGGTCCACGGATCCACCATCGATCACCGAGTCGATCAATCCATCAATCTCCTGGTCAGCACTCTCCAGGACATGGGTCAGTACTGGGAAGTAGGCACGCGCTATGCAAGTCTTCTTTCACGCGTACTTTCCGAATATCAAGAGAGCCAGGACACTCCCGCTGGTGCGAATGGTGAACGCGTGACACCCTCAACCGTCAAGATCCTCGCCGACATGCGACGATGTGCGTTCGATCTAGACTTCCTCATATCCCGCCAACCCAAGCTCAGCAACAAACAAAATCTGAAGATACCATCGGTAACTCCAGCTCGAACACCGGCGGCGAATGAGCTAGAGTATCTCGATGTGTTCGACTTCTTCAACATGCCTCGGCTTCCGGTTTCGATCGATGGGGCCATGAGCTATCCTGCGCCTGACGGCAACATACAATTACCTGACGGCGGGTTTGGAAATGAGTCGAACATCACCAACTATATGGTCGATGCGAGCTCAGATTGGTTTATGAAGCAGTCGGCATAACATGTCTTTTTGTGTCTTGGGTGCACGGAAAGTGGACTGTAAAAGTTGGTTGATCTTTCGGTACATAATATTGCGTTTCGGACCCTGTTCATAATTTTGTCCATACAATCTCTTCTTACTTTGAATGATACCCTATTTTATCTCTAACAGACTCGGCCGTCTTATCACCAGTGATATGTGCATGCAATGAGTCCAAGCAGCTCGATGTTCAGGACCGTACCTGGGCGTGACTCGTAGTGTACGCTTGTCCGGAACCGCTCATTCCGATCGGAATGCCATCGGTGCGTTATCTGCATCCTCGCTCGACCTCTGTAATCGACACTTGACAACACATCTCACTGATCAAGCAATACTGTCATTCAATTCAGTGTGATCTACGCGACTACTTACATGCTCCATCAAGCTTGCGTCGATTCGGTTCTTGTACAATACCGTGTATAAGACAGTCGCCGTTTACCGTCGGAATAGGCTGGTGAAACTCGGGATAGCGTACAAGGTATGGGTGAATCTTACTCCGCTGTACCGAATGTATGAGAGAGATGAGTCATTGACATTCATGTAGCTTCGTATATAGCTTCGTGCAGCGCCTGAGCATTGATACTCAAAATAGGTTCAACGAAGAGCTCGCACTTCGGCCTGTCTGTCACCAAAGCATCTCATCATCAACATCTCCAAACATAGTCCCTATCGGAAGCTATCTATCATCCCTCAACCACCCATCATGGCTTCCCAAAAAGACCAACAACACATCCTCATCCTCGGTGCCGGCGTAATCGGTCTAACAACCTCACTCGTCCTATCCCACACGTACCCCACCGCCAAGATAACTGTAGTAGCGAAGCACTTCCCCGGTGACCGCTCTATAGAATACACATCGCCCTGGGCGGGCGCCAACTGGTCTTCTATGGCCCACGACAACGGACTGCTGGAGAAGTACGACGAGGTCACCTTCCACCGTTTCGGCGAGCTTATCGACGGGAAGAGCGTGTTTGGATGCCAGGCGCTGAAGGCTGGCGAGACCGAAGGTGTTGATGGGGTGAATGGAGGGGGCAATGAGGCGGGCCTTGGGAGAATGGGTATGTGGGCTGCATTTGATGAGCCGATTGAAGAGGCGGGTGTTTTGACTGAGGCGACGGGTAAGGTGTGGTACGATCAGCTAGTAGGCGGGTTAAGGCAATTGGAAGGAAGTGAGCTGCCCAAGGGAGCGAACTTTGGGTTCGAGTTCCCAAGTACGTTCAGGATCAACACGCAAGTGTATCTGCAGTGGTACGTATTCCTGATCCTCATTCCCATAACGCAAAGTCCTAGCTTCAGCGAGACTGATATTGTACCAGGCTCCAAGCTCAAGCTTTGTGCAAAGGCATCAGTCTCGTGCGCCGACACTACCCTTCTGTCTCAGAAGTCCTAAGCGACCACCCATCCACCACCCTCCTGGTAAACTGCACCGGTCTCGGCTCCCTCAAACTCTCCGACATCAAAGATACGAATCTATACCCAACACGCGGCCAGACCCTACTGGTCGCTGAACCCAAAACTCCAATGACCAGAATGTATGAAATGGAACGAGTCAAGTACGACAATTGCCATCCTACTTGTCTTCCTCCGCCCCAGATCCGACTATTTTCTGTGTATCCAGCTTGACTGACGAACCAAACTAGGTCTTTCCGCTCTCCGAAGCGCATCGATCCCACGACAACCTACGTCTTCCCCCGTCCGCTAGGCGGCGGCGTGATTCTAGGTGGCAGTCGACAGGACAACGATTGGAGTGAAGAGTGGGATGAGGAACTCGGTCAGGATATCATGAAGCGGTGCTGTGAGTTGTGTCCTGAGCTGGGGAAGCCGGAGGATCTGCAGGTTATTGGACGGAATGTGGGTTTGAGGCGTAAGTATCGACACGAGAATCACTTTATGGATGATTGGCTGACAGTGTATAGCGTCGCGTAAGGGCGGCCCGAGGATCGAGACGGAAATGGGCAGGTGGAAGGTTCCGGTTGTGCATTGCTATGGGCATGCTGGTGCGGGGTATCAGTCTTCGTGGTGAGTACACTGAAGCTCGTCTATGTCGACAGTACGGTACTAATATACCTCGCAGGGGCACCGCCGAGCGCGTCCTTGAGCTCGTTCAGAAGACGCTAACGCCCAGCTCAAAGCTATAATCGCTACATCAGATACTCTTAGCTGATCCAAACCAGGGTTGACTTCACCCAGCCAGCTATCATTCCAACTCCACTCTTGCTTAGCTCACATCTTCTCCTCTTTCCTCCCCTCATCCCTACTATTCCACTCCCGATCAAAAACCTGCAAACTTCTCTGCGCAGTAGGCACGACATCCAACGCCTTCACACTAACCCTATCCTTCTGACCCAGCATGAAAGCTGCAGCTTCCGCAACATCCGGCGCAACAAGAGGCTCGAAGCCAGACATGAAAGTATCGTAGCTCTGCTTTTCGTATCCAACACTGCATGTTTTGTCAGCTCGGAAATCCACCGCAGCGCTGATACAATGAAGAAGGGAATAAAGCCATACCGTTGTTCATGGAAGTTTGTTGCTACAACACCGGGCCGTAACGCGAGAACTTTGATATCAGTACCCACTAACTCCGTCCTCAGCACATTGGTGAAAGCCTCCTGGCATGCTTTGCTAGCATGGTACACTGCCTCGCCAGGGAAAGGCGGTACCTCTAGCCCCGTGGTGCTAGTCACGTTCAGAATCGTTCCCTTGCCACGCTCCTTCATCTTTCCCTCGTTCAAAACCGTATAAGCAGCGAACATGTACCCATTGATATTTGTGTTCGTCATTGTGATGATATCTTGGATCTTCAGATCAGGGAAGCGTGACGGCGCACCTATAGCTAAACCGGCGTTGTTGATTAGAACATCGATGTGGGAGACCTGGTGGACGATGTTTGAGACGGCGGTGCTGAGGGATGTGTGGTCTTGTACGTCGACGACTGATGTGAAGATCTTCAAGTCTTTGTGTTCTTTCTTGAGTTCGTCGGAGAGGGCCTTTAGCTTGTCGCCTGAGCGTGCAAAGAGGATGAGTGTTGCGCTCTCAGCGGCTAGTCGACGCGCGATGGCTGCGCCGATGCCCATAGAAGCCCCTGTGATGAGGACGGTTTGGTCTTTGAGTGACATGGTAAGGGATAGGAGTATGGGGTTGAGATGGATGGATGAATTGAGATAATAGTTCACTTGGTGTGAAACCTCGGATCTGTTTTGCTGTGTCTGATCGTGAGGAGACAATGAAAATGACAATGATTACACAGGGAGTACATGTGCGGAGGATGAACATGCTAGTAGGCTTTCGGTGGAGCAAGAATGACGTCATCAGCATCGCATTTGTCATCTACGAATGGTGTCCGATGTGTATAACACGTTGCATTGGATGTGTAGTAAATATAGTCCATAAGGGTATCTCTGTAAACAATCATTCTGATAGCGTGAGTCATGTAGCAAATCAAAGGTCTCAGGCGTTGACTTACAATTCGTATCTGGCATTGCCATCGCGGCGCGAGTCCGTGTCTTGTGAAGAGCGCAACTTCCAGTCGCTTATGCTTATGAGCTTTAGACTTGAAATAGTCGAGGCATGTCGAAGAGTGTTGTTGGCTGTTCGATCGAAATCATCAACCATCCCACCTCTGCGCCTCTTTGTTGTAGCCGATGAGCTTGAGGTCGATGTTAAGGGTCTTGAGCATCATATCCATCGTGAACGACTGCTTCAACGTTAGCATGGTAACTTGTATGTACACATCCGTGCACTCACATCATCGTCTGCTCCCTTGAATGTCTCCTTCTCCTCCTCCCCTTTCTCCCTTTCCGAGTCCATCTCGGCGTAGCGATCATACGCTTCTTCGGAAACCTCACCACTCTCCTTCGCCTCCTCCATCTTCTCACGTTCCGCCTCCATCTCTTCTTTATCCCATTGCATCTGCCGTTCCTTGGATTCTTTCTCACGTTCCTTCCATGCGCCTACCCCGCCCATCCTGTTGACCCTGTCTCTAGTGCTGCCAAACAGCTCTTCCGCCGCTGCACGACTTGCTGTGCGCCATTTATCGACCAGCACGACCAGATCGTCATCCTTTGTAGACGTAGCCAGGGTCTGAGCTTGTGTAAGCATCTGGATCTCATTGCGGATCTGCATGATCTCGCGTGCGACCGAGGGTTTCGACGATGTCTTCTTCGACGGAACACGTGACGGGGTTGATAGGTTCGAACGTGAGACGAGAGGTTTCGAGACGCGTGGTGTCACTTTAGACGTTGCTGGTGTTTTGGGGGGTTGCATAGAGGCAGTAGAGGTGGCCGGTTGCTGTGCGCCATTATCTGCAGGGGCGGTACTTCTAGCAGGAGCGATCGTTGTCCTAGGTGTATCAAGCGCAGGAGTGTGGACCTCAGGCGGATCTGAGGATGGCGGGTCGTCGCCTATGCTGGGCTTTAACGGCGTGCGGAACGGCGATTTGAACGGCTTCTGGAGCGTTTTCGTGGCTTCGTTCAGCCGGCGACGTTTCGCTTGCGGGGTCGACATATTCGCGGGTGTTTGGGCATTGGTGTGGGTGGTCAATTCTCGAAGTGGGGGGTGGTGAGTGTCTTGGGACTGGCGATGTCATCTGTCGCTTCTGATTTCGGATGGTCTGACGCGTCGCGCTAGAGCCTCGTCATCACGTGTCTATCAGGGCGTCTTTTCTAGGAACTGACGACCAGCAGCTCTATTGAACGAGGCAGGTACGAACATTACACGCGTTTCATGATAGAATCAAATCTTCACAAGCACGAAGGTCGTATTGTGATAAGCACGATTATTTAAGCATATACATAGCACAGCGGCCCCGAGGTAGTGGAGAAGAACTCCTTGCTCGCGATGTGGTTCTGACCTGGCGGCGCCACCACATCCAACTCCTGTTGGTCTGTCGGTTTACCTTTGGGACTGTTGGGAATCGACCAATGGGTGCCACCTTCGTACATGCTTGTGCGAGACTTGACCTCCTTCTCTTGATACATGGCCCACATCCACCAGTGCCTGTCCAGCTGAGCATGGTGCAGCCAGAAGGCTGGCTCCGCAGGGCTCACATAGACATCACCTCCGGGATCACCCCAGATAGAGAAGTGACCGCCAATGTGCAACGCTGAAAGGCTGTTCGTCGCGTTGGTCTGGAGTGTGTCCTGGAAGGTACCAATGGCCTTATTGATGGTGATATGAAACAGAAGATCTTGAGGCCGGAGGTAGCGCTCGGTGAAGAAGTTGCTTACGTCGCGACGGTGGCAACGTGGATTGTCACCATAGCCATCGGCGCGTGGGTTTGGTGGGATGTTGAGTTTAGGGTCCATGGTGGGCGCGAGGGGACCAAGACGAATGGTCAAATTGGTGAAAGGACCTTTACTGATACAGCCTCCTCCGGGTCCACCAGGAAGCGTCTCACCCGGCCATAGACTCATGCCTGCATGCGGTCCGATTGGATCACCATTCCCACCCATGCTCCATTCGTCGCCGTTGAAGATGGGGCTGTTAACGAGATCGGTGTACTTGGCCCAGTTCCAGTAGGGTCTGTGATGAGTAGGCGAGGTTAGTGTATGCTTTACACAAGATCTAAAGAAGAATACTCACTGGTAGCCTTTGTAGCCACATTCCGTGCGAAGCGCTGTTTCGTAAGCCCATATGTAGTAACGGTGCCAGTGCATGAAGTTTGCGGTGGCGTGAACCGTCGGTGTCATGTTCATATGCACCACAACAAAGTCTTCATAGCGAGACTTTGCTCCAGGATATTGACCAGCAGGAAGTTTGGAGGGCGCCTTGAGCATGCAATTGACGGCCGTGGTGTATGCTTTCCGTTCCTCTTTCGTGAGGTCGCCGCTATCGTGTGTTAGCATCATGACCGTGGCAGTGCCCAAATTTACTTACAACTCTTTGCGTACAGCAACAGTGTCCTTGTTACATGTCGCAGGCCTCGTCAGACCGTCTGACAGCGTCCCATCCAGTACCTTGTATGCATTTGCGAGAGCTTGCTTCTGGACGCCGTCGAGGGTAAGCGTGTCTTGCCTCTGAGTAAAAGGAGATGCTGAAGCGCTAGAGAACAGAGACAGAGATGCCACAAGGGCCTTGACAACCGCAATGCCTGCCATCGATTGATTTCTGGCGATTCAGCTAAGTGCGGATCTCAATGCTTTTATGTCGAGCACCATGATCAGCCTCCTTCTCCAATGCAGGCCAACATCAACCGTGCCATACTACTGCATGTGCTGGGTCATTTATTTAGAGGGTTGCCCGACGTGGGGCGAAGTTCTACAAAGCTCTGCTGTAATGAACACCCTTGGCATGCAACACACGTACCGACGAAATACTGCTGTGCAAGGGTGTTCCAATATCATGACTATCTCAACGAACAGCCATTCCTGTTCATGGGGTCTGCAGCATGCCATTCATGGTGGCCACGAGTGGTCACAGAGTCCATACTTTTGATGTCCAAGACCTGAGCTGCATCTGACCGCGTTGATGAGCGGCAGTCAACTGGAAGCGGTCAGCATCCTTGTATGCAATGTAAGGCGCCTGGTCAGGACTGTGAAATCAACTCCGATTTACTTTGAGATCGAGCTTTCCCCGTAATAAGCTCTAAAGGTTGTTTCTGTTGTGCGATGGCGAAGACCCTCGTGATACCTCGTCTCTTAGGTTGAAAGTGTCGAAAGCTACAAACAGGTTCAGACCAAGCGCCCGAAGCTCTTGATGTTCGTGGTCAGCGTACAAGTATGTGCCATTGGCAACAGGAAGATCGTCGTTGCCGTTATTCATCCCTTGCAAGCCAGATAGTCCCAACCGGACAATATGGCGTATGTAATACCGGCTATGATACCCCTGGTGTTCGGTAGGATTCTGCCGGGCGCAAGGTGTGTTTGCCAAGCTTGTACATGTTTCGATGAAACTGTAGGACATCAACATTGATTACTACTCAGTACACCTGAGGTGGTGGTATTCGTCAGCTGCGCCACGTAATTCTGCATCGAGGCATTCGCAAGGAGATGCGCGATACCTCATATAATGCACAGCGCGGCAGACTCTCCGGTAGTGTTCGCGTGTATGGAGGCGCATGGCGCTTGCTGAAAATGCATGCCGACGGAGGCTTCCATCAACTTCGCGCCATGCGTAAGAAGCCGGCCATTTATCTTCTCGTGAAAACTGGTGATGCTTAAGTAGATCAGCTTGGGAGAGCTTCGGCGACGTCCTTGGCGTCCAATTCGATTGATTGAAGGATCAGGATCCCTGGCGGTGCGTCGCCTTCGAACGAAAAGCACATCGAAGTAGATGGTAGATGGGGCGTATGCTTACAACCGGACGGAACACGGCATATGCCGAGGCCTGTCCTTGCTAGATTCAGATACTGTTGAACAAGTGTGGCGTGCGCTGTTGGATCGGGCTGCGAGCAAACCCAAGCAGAGCGGCGGAGCGGCGGAGCGAACGACGCAAATGGAACCCAATAGAGAGCATACTTTCGTGGCTTGAGGAGACGACTGACGATGCAATGACTGTTGGCGATCATTCCGATCTGCAGATGAGGGCAGCTCACACAGCTTGGACGGTGCGACATGTGGGACATGTTTCGGCTGTCAAGCGTGATGAAGAGGGGTAGAAACGACGAAGAACGGCGTTGTGAGAGCGGAAAGCTCTGCCGCACATCGATGCGTCACAAAATGATGCGTCCAAAGCATGCTGGGTGCTGCTGCCGTAATTTATGATGTTGCGGACGTAGTGAAACTGCGCTGTTACTTTTCCAACCCTAGAGGCAAATGTCAAAACATCAACCCCAGCAATTGCATTCTGCGTACGACAGACACTACAATGGACGATAAAGCCAAGGCATTCCTGGCTAATGTGGAAGGCGGAATCGTGCCAGTAACATGTCACGATGATGTCTTGCGAATCGCATACATTTATATCGATGAGGGGCTGTGGGACAGCCAGGGCGTATATGATGTTGTGGAGAAGCTGCACGCGCACGGCTGGTCTTTTGGTGAGGACGAGCTCCGCTTCAATCGGTAAGCTACATCCTCATATGAGAATCCCTCATACCGATGTACCCAGCACCTGCACGTGTGTGACTAAGATAAAACAGTACCTTGGATATATTTTATCTCGCCCAGATCGCAGCAGC